GAGAAACATCTGTAACAAAAACAAATTAATTAAAAATAAAATAAAATGAAATTCCCTTCCAGCCCAGCTGGTGTGGCTCAGTGTTTGAGGTTCAACCCATTCACCAAGAGGTCGCAGGTTCAATTCCCGGTCAGGGCACATGCCCGGGTTGGGGGCCCGATCCCCAGTGGGGGGCATGCAGGAGGCAGCCAATCAATGTTCTCTCTCATCGATGTTTCTACCTCTCTCTCCCTCTCCCTTCTCCTCTCTCTAAAATCAATAAAGAAAAAATATTAAAAATAAATAAATAAAATTTCTTTCCAGATGAAGTCTTGAACCAATGCAGTGGATCAGGCTGTGTGGTTAGCGAGTTAGAAAAGCTTTCTGAGCCCAGTGTGAGGGGCCCACACACATGCTAACCTGTCCGCCTCTCTTTAAGAGAGTGACCCCTTCCCATAGCAACCCAGTCCAGTCCAGTCTGCCCACCAGGAATGTGCTGGATACTCGGAGTTGCCTCGGTGACCTCAGGGAATACACTGCCACAACAGATGTCCCGTGGTTCTTTTCTCCTGCAGCTGGTTTGATACTTTCACTTGAGCCCACCTCTGGGTGCATTTGGCTGCCCTCTTCAGCATCGCCATCAGTCCCGGCTTCAGTGCAAAAGCCATGTGTTTTCAGCAGTGAACACAGTCACAGCACTTACCCTCTCCAGGGAACGTAACAAAGCTGTGTGTAAGCATTCCTCTGGCTCAACCCGTGGGAATAACCATTCTCAGCCCCCGCTCTGCCCATTGTTCTGCAGCAGAAATGCATGTTTGTTTGTCTTTCATAGGTGTGTGAAATCGGAAAGCAAAGACAGAGAGTTGGGGTATAGGGTTCCATATACTGTGATTCTTCTCAAAATGAATGCCTACATTTTAATTACTTATTATCAATGTGATTTTTACTGAAAGCAAAAATGGTTTAATATGCATGAAAAATAAGTGACTAGCTCTATTTATAAGTGTGTATGTGAGAGTTTCATGACGACGATCCCTTATCTTTTACAGGGATAGGTTTCCAACAATTAAATCTAGTGATCACTGCCTGGCCTGTGGCTCAGTGGTTGAGCGACAACCAATGCACCAAGAGGTTGCTGGTTCACTTCCCGGTCAGGGCACCTGCCCAGGTTGTGGGCCCAATCCCCAGTGGGGGGCACGCAGGAGGCGGCCAATTGATGTTCTCTCTCATCGATGTTTCTATCTCTCTCTCCCTCTCCCTTCCTCTCTCTCTCTAAAATCAATAAAGAAAAAAAATCTAGTAATCACCAACCCTTTAAAACTATACAAAGTACAGATCACAGTGGCTGTCATCTCTGACACTGCACCCGTTCCGAGAGTGAGCGCAGAGTTGCCTGACATGGCAGGACTCATCACACCAGCCTTGTCTAATGGCTGCATGGAGATATTTTGATATTTCTGCAGCTGTTTGCCCACAGGCATCCAGCTCTTTAAATCTATAGGTTTTCCTTATAACTGGGTCACTCTGTCACCAAAGTCCTTTGCCCAGAAACAGTCATTTTTCTGAGCCTGGTCCTATTCTAATAGCGTGTTTTGTTTTCATTTTTTGTTCTTTCTCTTTTAGAACAAAAAGTATTATGTGCAGAGACTGGGCTGTAGCAGACCCTGTTGGCTGTCCACTTACAATCTGTCTCTTCCTCTTCTTGATGGAGTACTGGTTTTGTTCACATGGCCTCTCTCAGAAACACGACCACGCAGGGGGCAAAACCCAAGGAGTCTAAAGCCATCACGGTCATCTCATACCTCTTAAAGGCGACAGGCTCAGAGGCAGGCACATGACCAGTGAGATGAGAAATTATTAGGGCATTTAAGGGAAATGTTCCCTTGCTGCTAGAAAGGGTCACAAGGAGGAGAGGAGATGGTCCCTTCTCTTCCCCTGGTCACTGGCACGCCTGCCTGTGCCGCCTGGAACTGCTGATGGAGCCGAGCCCACAAAGGCAGGCAGGGCAACAGGGAGGTGGGGTCAGGGCCCTCGTGTACCCTGCCTGGAGCCTTGCCTACCCGTGGACAGCTTGTGCTGTGAGATAATAAATCTCCTTAAATTTAAGCTGGTTGAGTCCAGGTTTTCTGCTACTTGCTGCCAATGCGTTTTGACATAGTAGCCAAAATAATAAATCAACAACCCATGCTGTGTCCTTTGCTTGATGGGAGCTTCCACCCTTGTTTACCTGGTGCTTTTCAAGACTCACCAAGGTGCCTGCTCTTCACAGTGGAATGAACCACGCCCTCAGCCAGTTTCCTGTGAAGCCTGGTGTGTATACCCTGCGCTTCGCCCTCTCTACTGGGGCTTCTTTGTGGGTTTGTCTTCGCGCACGCACACTGGAAGTCCCCCGCAGAAGAGTCAGATCGGCACCAGAGAGAGTACCAGGGGCACCAATCAGTAAAATGTTCATCAGCAAAGAAGATGCATTTCTTGTTTATTGAGAAATAAGCAGCCAGATTTAGAGGCGATAACAGTAGCGTGGATATGCACGGAGGCCATGAAACCAGAAAGGGGGCCCATGAAATCCAACTATCAGTGTATACAGGGGTGGGCAAAAGCAGGTTTCCAGTTGTTTGTATGGAAAAAGACGTGCAGGTTGGTCACTGGTTTAATTACCAGTCATCATTCCCTGAGAGAGAGGTCGTAAGTAGGGATGTGAAATAATAACAATAATAAAGATAAGACAAATAATTCAGCAATTAATAAATTAATAATACAAGCATAAACTCTGTGTTTCGCCTACTCACAGCTGTAAACCTACCTTTGCCCCCCTCCGTGTACACATAGATCAGTCACATGGGTGGCAAATGGAATGACACATGGCTGAAGACTTGATGTGGGTGGGAGGGTGGAGCCTTGGTGTAGGCAGCTGCAGGAACAGGAGAGGGAGGAGCCAAGAGAGCACGTCCTTCCTGAGGGTAGGCAGAAGGGCTCTGTGCCATCTAAGAATCTGGTCCTCTCCAGGAAAGCGGGAGCCCGACTGTCTGTCTGCTGGAAATGAAGGCCATCACCATCTGTCTCTACCGCTAGCACTTAGTCCTTCAGAATATTAATTCAACTCTACTTCCAAGCAGCCACATGGGTCTCATGAACTGGGCCCAGCTCTGGTTTGCGTTCTGTTTCTTGACTGATAAACTGCATTTAATCTTCCCAAGGTCTGCCTCTGCTGCTGCTTTGGTTTTGGTGCTGCTCTGTCTTGTTTACAACGTCTGGAGAAATAGCCACACACTTTTGAACTGTGGCTCTGATGTCTCGCCTCCGTGCTCTAAACCTCCTGCCGTCTCCCGCGAGTAGTCAGGTCCCTGTTGACAATGCCTTTATGATGTCGTTGCCATTTGTACTTTCCTCTGTACTTGTATGACCCTCAGGAACTCAGACACAACAGGTTCCAAACTAAACCATCCTTCCCATCTTCAGGTTTGGGGTTACTCGCCAAAGTCCAAAACATGGGGAGCAGCACCAATTTCTTCCTCCCTTTGTCTGACATTGACTAGCTTTTATTATTTTTTATTATCATAGCCACAAGGAACTATTTTATTTATATGTATGTAAATATAAACATAATAGAGAGATGATAGAGATGATAGGTAGGTAGGTAGATAGAGAAAGAAAGAAAGAAAGAAAGAAAGAAAGAAAGAAAGAAAGAAAAGAAAGAGAAAGAGAAAGAGAAAGAAAGAAAAAAGAAAACAGAAACGCCCAAATAATGTGATCAGAAGAGTTGCGTTCTGCCTTTTGGCCCATATCAGATATCCAATTAATGTCAACTCACGCAGTTTGCCCAGAAAGGCAGCAAGCATCTAAGAGCATGAGCTTTGGAATGAGGAGGACCGGGTGTGAAACCCGGCCCTGGCCCTGGCTGTGTGGTCTTGAACTAAAGAAACAGTCAGCCGTGGTGGGTTCTGTGGTGAGCACTGTGCTCATAAGTACCTCACCAGCCTCCCCAGTGAGGTGGGCACTGTCATCCGCCCCTATTCCAGGTGAAAATCCTGAGGCTTGTCATGCTGGGGCCAAGGCCGCAGAGTTAGTGGACCTAAGATTCAGTTCTGCCCGATGCCAAAGCTGGTGTTTATCTCCTAGACCCCAGTGTGTATCTGCACAGGGAGTCCAGTGCTCACGGTCTAGGCTCAGTGTCCAGAACGTTACCGGTAGAGGCCAGTCACCTCCCACCCTGTCTGACACGGAGGAGCCCTTCTTCTCCGTGCTAACGACCCAGCGCTCCCGGCTGGCTGTGTGCTGCTAATTCTCAGAATTGGTTTTCCCGTAGACTCCTCTACCAGAGCTGTCTTTGGTATATTTTTTTTGGCTTTCCAATTTTCGGTTTCAGTCTTCCTTTCCATTGAGACCCGTAGTGCTTTAGTGACTTGATCATAGGCCAGCCTCTTCCTACCGAGCTTACAGGCTCCTCCAGGGCCCTTGACGTTTCTTTTTATACCTAGTCATCAGCTAGTGCCTGGGCCAGAGTGGGGATTTGCCTAATACCTGATGAACAATTCATTGATTTTTCTTTTCTACATCATTGACATGTTTACTTACCGCTTCTACAAGGTGGAGCCTTTTAACTAGAGCGTTCTGTGCGCGGTGGGAGAGCACCGGACACATTTCAAGCCTGCGGCTTCTTGCTTCTTTTACTCAACAATGAGCCAGGCGCCTGCGCTCGGTGCGCCCCGCCCCCCAGGTGCGCCCCGCCCCCCAGGTGCGCCCCGCCCCTCCCCGCCGCCAACGGCCACCTCCGTGGCTCCTTCCAGGTGGCTGCCCTTGGGTCCGGCGCCCACCAGGCATTTCTGAACGGGGTTCTGAACGGTGGGAGCCGCTGGGGGCCCAGGGACCAGTGAGGAGCGTGCTCCAGCCTTGTGGGCGTAGGAGGCGGGGGGTCCTGAGAAGGGCCTTTCGGGAGACTTGGACCTGAGCGTGGGCACCCGGACCGAGACCCCGCAGGCCAGGGGCTGGAGGCGTCGCCTGCGGGGCGAGGGGAGCCCTCCATGGCGCGGCCGCGTGGGCCCCGGCGGTGCCGGGCGCTGCTCGCCCTGCTGGCGTCGCTGCTCCTCTCCGGGGCCAAGGAGGCCGCCGGGGAACGGGACATCCACGACTTCTGCCGAGTTCCGAAGGTCGTGGGACGGTGCCTGGCTTCCATGCACAGGTGGTGGTACAACGCCACCGGCGGGTCCTGCCAGCAGTTTGTCTATGGAGGCTGTGGCGGGAACAGCAATAACTACCTGACCAAGGAGAGGTGTCTTGAGAAATGTGTTCATGGCAACACTGGTGATCCGGCCACCAGCAGGGATCGAGCCGATTCCTCGGGCCCAGGGGTTCCCAGAAGGCAGGATGTTGACGACCCTTCCAGCGATAGTTTCAACTACGAAGAATACTGCACTGCCCAGGTGGCCACGGGGCCCTGCCGGGCATCCTTACCACGCTGGTACTTTGATGCCAAGAAGAACTCCTGTGATAACTTTATCTACGGAGGGTGCTTTGGCAATAAAAACAACTATCTCTCCAAGAAGGCGTGCATGAGCCGCTGCTTTAGTAAGCAGTGGTACCTGGCCCTGCCCCGCAGCACCACGGTGGTCCTGGAGCGGCTGTTGGTGATGGTCCTGATCATCCTGCTGGTGTTCGCCCTGGCCTACCTGATCACGATGGGGTGGATGAACCAGAAGTGCCGCCACACCGTCTGGGGCTCCGGGGCTGATAAGGAGGCCCTGTTGAAGAGAACCTGGGGAAGGGGAGGGCAGGCCACTGTGGAATGCACCTCTGCTATTTAAAATAGAATGATTGCTTGGTATGTTTGTGATCATTAGGGCTTTGAGTCTGTTTGTACTTAAGAAGTTAAAGAGAGCTGCTTCCTGGTCCCGCCAGGCAGGTTCCCTTTGGAAACCCTCTCAGAAAAGAGCTTTGGTTCACGTTTGGATGGCCGGGCCCCAGACCAGAGGCAGTTCCCTTTGGTTTCTTTACTGCAGGTATAGTTTTCGTTATGTTAAAACCTTCTGCCTCCTTTTCTATCACAATAGTGATGTTTTAGTAGTTTTCGTGGTTTGATTTGTGGGTTGTTTTAAGCAAGCAGGAAAACGTTCTTGTTTGGTGATTAGAATTCCGAAAGAAAGAGCGTCAAGTGTAGAAGTTTAATAAAAAGGGTCTTCCCTTTTAAATTAAAAAACAACAATGGATGAGCAGCCAAGGACTGAATCCCTGATTTTATGCATTGCTATCTTCCTCCAACAAACATTTTTGAGCACCTGCTTTGTGCCAGGCACTGTGCTGGGCATCAAGTTTCTAAATGTTAATTAAACAAGATGTCTGCCTTTAGGAAGCACACAATTTAGTGGGGGGGAGGGGCAAGATAACCTTGTTATTCATAGAGGTCTATACAGGGCACAGTGGTGGTGGATGGGAAGGAGGGATCTGATCTTTGATGGGAGACGTGGAGAAGTGACAGACAGCAGGACTACCGAAGGGGCCAGGTTGATCATCCATAGACTCACTCAAGTAGAATTATGTATTTTCCAACCATCTTCTGTCTGAAAAGTACAGGGTGTGTGTGTAAAAATATTTTCTATGTAAGGAGAGGGAGGTACTTGCTCTGTTGTGGAACGTCTCATTGCATTTCTGTGAATGTTTTGATAATGCATCAGGTCATTCCAGAAAGTAATGGTCAGTCTTCAAAGAATACAAGAAACAAGGCTCTTTCACTCTGAGTACCAAATGCATGTGGCTCATGGCAGCAATTAAGTAGTCCCGTCCCCTGTCGCTGAAGGAGTGTACAAGCCACTCCATGGCATTTCTCGGGAGTTCTGAAGCCACAGCATCACCAACAGTCAGATTTCCATGGGGGTTTGGAGGCAAGTGTGGATTGATTTAGAAAGTACTGGTTCTATCTTTCCTACAATAGAATCAATCAGCTAAGACAACAAGAATTTGTATCTAAAAGACCTAGACTAGAATCAAGACTCAGGCAAGACCATATAGTAAGAAATGACCCAAATTCAGAACCCAGAGCTGGGAGCCCTGATTCTAGCCTGTCAGTAGCTCAGAAGACTTGGAAGTTTATCAGCTATCTCTCTGGGGCTTAGGTTTTTTTAATTGGTTAATAAATATATGTAAAAAGAATGAAGTAATGGATGAATGTAAGATGAATATTGTAATACCTGCACCACCTACTTCATAAGGATATGAAGCGAGGAAATTAATTATACATTGAGAAGATAAAATGCTTCAAGACACCCACATTCTGATTTTTAGATCAATGGTGATAAATATTCCTTTAAGGGCTTCAGAATCCGAGAATATACAGATGCTTTTATCATCCAAATTCGTCCTTGACCAGGAGAGAAGAAATAATAAGTTGAAGAGCAGGTGTTATATTGCACGTCTATTAGATAATTAGCTGGCTAGGATCTCCAAAAATCTAGCCTCCTATGGACTAGACAAAAAGAAAAAAAAAAAAAGGGAGTTGTAAACAAAGGAAAGTCTTCAGTATCTGAACTAATGACAGTCTTAATCTCTCGAACAAATCTACTTGACATATATAAAATATCTTACATTCTCACATTTGATTATGTACACACAACAGGCACTGTTTGTTAAAGCAGCGGTGCTGGCTAATGCTTTCTGGGCAACATTATACAGTGGACGAAACATACATATTGGAACAAAAGAGGCCTGACTTCTATCGGCAGCGTGGCCCCAGCAGTTCTCAACCTTCCTGATGCCGCGACCCTCTAATGCAGTTCCTCATGTTGTGGTGACCCCCCACCATAACATTGTTTTCATTGCTACTTCGTAACTGTAATTTTGTTCCTGTATGTCTTAGGCGACCCCTGTGAAAGGGTCATTCGACCCCCAAAGGGGTCGCAACCCACAGGTTGAGAACCACTGCCTTAGACACAGTATTTTAAAAGTCCAAGTCTCAATTTCTAATCAGTAGTAAACTGGATGTAGCCTTTCTTACCCAACATTATAGTGTGTCATGAGAAATAAATGAGATGTTACATGCACATAGCATCTACCAAAGGGCAGGCCCTCGGAAATGTTCATGTTCCTGTCTCGATCCCAGTGGGCTTTGTAGGGTAGGGTCCTTCCATGTCAGGTGCCATAATAATGCTTAAAGAAGAACGCGTAGTTTCTGGAAACTCGGCGTGCAAAGGAAAGCTGTACCAAGGTCTTCTAACCCTGTTCTGCTTTTGATGATTCTTCCTTGAATTTTCCTGAGAGGTTGGACCTTACACACCACTAACCTGAATCTTTTCTTTTCTTTTTTTAATCCTTACCCGAGGACATTTTTCCATTTTTTGCACAGATAGAGTGGGAGGGAGAGAGAGGAACAGAGAGAGAGAGAGGGAAACATCGATGTGAAAGGGACACATCGAGTGGCTGCCACCCGCACGACCAACCAGGGCCGGGGACAAACTGCAACCGAGGTACATGCCCTTAGCGGGAACTGAACCCGGGTCTCTCCAGACCGCAGGTGGATGCTCTAACCGCTGAGCCAAACCGGCCAGGGCTAACCTGAATCTTTCCAATAATTTTCTCCCTAAAGTGTGTGTGTGTGTGTGTGTGTGTGTGTGTGTGAGAGAGAGAGAGAGAGAGAGAGAGAGAGAGAGAGAGAGATCTGACCTCAAACTAGTGTATGTTCTATTTCTTTTGCCATTATAAATATCCCCACAATATTTCCCTTCCCAGCCTCACATCCCCCTGCTCCTCCTTCATGACCCCAGGTGTTTCACACTCTAGGTAAAACCCTCCAATGAGAGGAACTAAATAGATACGATGAGAATTAAAACGTAAGACAAGCTCCTTCTTCTCTTTCATACTTCAGGGTATTCACCTTCAGGGAGGACTTCCTGCACCTATACCTCTCCCCATCCATCCTCCCCCACCGGTTGTCCCACTTCTTCATGCCACCACAGTTTTATGCCATTTAGCACATGTAATATACTATTACTTTTCACATGTCCGTTTTCCTCATACTCTAGGAGATCCTTGAGCATGGTGTCCGTAGGCACTGCACACATGCTATGCTGCAAGTGCATGTATGAGCTGAATCAATGTATTTTTCTCCACTCTGAGAGTTTCCCTACCTGGTAGGAATGGGTGTGTGCAGGATCCTAGGAGGAGCACCCTGCAGGGTAGTGTGGAGAAGACCTGGGTCATCCATGTGCCATGTGTCCTGCCCCTGTGCTGCTCATCTCTGCCCTTCACCTGTCCATGTCTGTCTCCATCCCGTGGGCTCTGACTGCAAAGAAGGAACCCGAGAGACCCGACTTCTTCACAGCGTCAACACTGTGCTCGATGTCAACACTGAGCACAGTGCCCATGTGCTCGATCCTGGTACCTTTTCAAAGTAAGTGCTTTTACGTAGAGCATCTCGCTGGATTTACAAAGGGCTTATAGGATCTTGGGCAGTAAGAAAAAGACATTTTTCTTTTCTTTTTTCCTTGGCCAGCAAGGATGACAGGTGAGAGAAAAAGAGCCAACCTGCAGACTATAGAAAGGATGCCTTGCTTTTTGGCAGTGTCAACAGAGTCTCTAATAGGCCTATTTATGTTTGCTTTTTACGGCCCCTTCTAAGTCAATGAATGAAATATTTGTGTTGGAAACCTTCATGAGAGTTGTGTCGATGGTGGCTGAGAATCTAAGCCTCTTACATCATTGTTTTGCCTTTCTACTACTACTCCTCTTTTTCCTCCTCCTCCTTGGGTTTGATCACCGTCGTCATCGACAGCATCATGATTCCGTGCTCTTCCTTTCGTCCCGCCTCTATCTGGCTAACCTTACTCACCCTTCTTGCTCCGGTGTCCCGTCTTACCGTCCTCACAACCCTTCTCTGTGCTCCAGCCGCGTTCTGCCTTGTGCAACCTGGAGGCACTGAATGCTAGCATGGCCCACTCAGCTGGCCCAGTGGCTGACTCCCCACCTCACTCAAAGGCAGGTGTATATGTTGGAAATAGTTTCATATGAAATACATAGAGGACTGCCTGCAGGTAGCAAAACTCAATGACTATTAGGAGTTATTGTTGTGGGTAACCCCCTCCCACTGTTACATCCCCTGGCGCCTAGGAGGTACAAAGTGAATGCTGATTTTATTGCATTGAAAGATAACAACAAAAATACCTTCCTCAGAAACCTAATTGCATCTCGCCTTCTGTTAGTCTGATGTCAGTGCTGGACTGGTGGTGTGGCAGAGGAGGGAAACCGGAGAGCAGATGGGGAGGAGTGGCCACGGCCAGCCAGTGTATGGAAGGACAGGCACGTCGTCTGGGGACCACAGCTCCGCTTCCGAGGGGCCCCAGGTCAGTCACAGAGTAAATGGGTCAAGGGTAGGTGGCCACTCTCCTCAACCATATAGTCCAAGGCACGGCCTCAACCCAGATTCAACCTTGCCACCTTCTCTTCAAAGATCCTCTGTGTCTCCCGCACATGTTATTCTGCATGATTGACTGTTTTCTCTTCCAGTGGGAGGGGCTTAGACTCCCCACAAGTTGGGGTTGACATCCTCTCGGGAATAAACACCCCCTGAGGAGCTAGTGTCTAGCTGGATGATGGTTTGTTTACAACTCTCTTGAGCCATTGAGGCACAAGACCAAATTGTTTTCTCCACTCTTCTGAGACCTCACTCACACTTGGCCTCTAAATGGATGGAGTAGCAGGGGGATGAGTCTCACTCCCAGAGCACACCTCACACTGTGTCCAGTCGATGTGGCCCCTGCTCACCGCTCTGGGGCAGAGGAGAGAACGGCGGACTGGACTTGCTAGTGATTTCTGCTTG